AAGAAAGAAAGAAAGAAAGAAAGAAAGAAAGAAAGAAAGAAAGAAAGAAAGAAAGAAAGAAAGAAAGAAAGAAAGAAAGAAAGGGAGGAGAAAGAACAACACATCCAATTTGTGTTGTCTATATGGTCACTGGAGCATGGTCAGACTTTCAGTGTCCAGCCCCTTAAAGAAAACTGAGTCCTTCCCTACCTCCATCCTGCCGGAAGCCACCATTTGTGGAGAGCTACATTTCATCATCCTTGTCCCAATTTTTAAGAATTCTGTTTTATGGTTTCCTGTCTAGGCTGTTACTTTTGGGGGTGGGGGTTGTCATAGAAGCCTTCTGTGTCTGTTTTTCACAACTGTGAGTCTGCAGTCATCGATACTACTGCAAAAGATGCTTCCTTGCCCTTTACAGTCAGCAAGAGTAGGGATCATGGACTTTTGCAAGGTTTCTGGCTATAGCACAGACCATGGATATCCACATGGTCTCCGGCATAAAGTTAAAATATTGGATTTCATGCAATCAGTGAAAACTAACACAATGTTACAGATTTCCTGAAAACAGAGACTTAGACCAAGAGCTTCTGGTAGGGCCACAGTTTCGTTGTCTTCAAACGTATGTTCCTTACTCAGTGGAGATATCTAGTGAGTTGGGGAAAGACAGAGGAAAGAGGTTGACTGCTGATAGCATTTTCTTCTAAATGAGAGGTCTTAGAATTTACACCTTCTCTCTTCTAAAGAAAGACTACTGATAATGTTGGATTGCTATAGCTTGAGCCTGTATTTTGAGGCTTGTACTTCCACTCCCAATGCCTACCCCAGGCTTCTTTACAACAGTACAGAAGTTTTTCAGAAAGCATCTGGTTAACGTGTGATTCGCCTGACATTACATATCCTGTGAATTTTAGTTCCTTTTGTAGGTATTCGAGCATTTGATACAGGCATCTTTTGCTGCTGATAACCAACATTTAGATGATTGGATTTGGGCTAAGCATATTCTCCCTCATTCATCCAGCCATGCTTTTGTATACTGCTGTTTCCTATTTCCAGGATGTTCTAAGATCAGTGATAAGCTGACTGAGCATGATGCATGGCTAGGCAGTAATGAAATACAAGATCTACTGATTTCAGTCACAGTGCTTACAGTAGTTAGACCCAGACTGTATAGATGAATGATTAAACTATATCAAAAGTGCAAAGGAAAGCTGTATGGCAAACACAAGGAATTATTCAGCTGTCAAAAACTGATAATAAAGGCAGAAAGGTCCTCCAAATTGTTCTGACCATAAGAATCAAGAGAAGTAGACAAAACTGAAAATAACAAAAAGGACAGAAATGAGGAGATTATTTTCTTCATTCTCTGAAAACTGTTTTGTTGTTTTTGCCCTTTTAAAGAGCACAAGCTAAAGGCTTCCTTACTAAGACCTTTGCCTGACATTGCCATTAAAGAAATGGATTATAAAAGAGCAGAAAACGCCAGCCCTGAAGGTTCTGCGAAAATGCTGGTCATAGGAAATAGGAATTGGAAAGCAAAGACTAGGCATGCTGAATTTATCTTCTCTGGTGCAAATGCTTTTTCCCTCTGCTTCTCTCCCCCTCAAGCCCATGGGTGGAAGCAATGAAATTCACTGACATAACTGGGCCAGTTGCTTTTTATTTCAAGTATGCTGCAAGGAATACTTGAGAGCAATCATCTGTGCACAGTAATTGGCTGATGAAGCTCAATATCCCTGGCAATTACAGTCACTGTTCATTCAGGAAGTCCTCCATACATCATTTGAAGGGAGGGCAAAATTGTACATTATTATAATACTAACCTGTGCAACACTAGTAGAACATGCTGTTGTGCTGTTAGGAACAAAGAGTTCGACACGGAATAGAAACTCCTGGCGGAAAAACACCAGGCATTTCAGCTTCAGGGGATGGAGAAGAGCTTGTGGTGCAGGGGCCGTCCTGACGACCCAGACTTACTCCCCAAGCTAGTTCTGTGTTCAGAAAAGCCAGCCAAGAATAAGACTCCAGGGTCAGGATGAGATTTATGAGAACAAACCACAGCTGATAGCTACCTGCCTGAGACTAAGACTGTAAAAGAACATTCATATCACCCTAAGCATCCTTGTCAGTCACGGGGCTGGAGCAGGCAGGTTAGCAGTGATTGGCCTAGAAATAGATAATCATTAACGATCTGGTGCCTTGTAAAAAAGAAAATAACAGGAAGTGTGGCTATACAGCACAGAAGTGAGAAGCATTGTATTTCATATGGAGGCAGGTGCAGCAGAAATCATAGCTAGAAAGAGATTCTGGATAGGCAGCTCAGAGCTAAAGTCCCAGTTTATAAGTCAGAGTATTAGCCATAAGAAACTAAGCGATTTGTCCAAGGTAATGCCACAAATAGATGCAGAGTTCACTTCTGAATCAATTTTCAATAATATTCATCCTCATACTCCTATTTATTAGCTTTGTTTGTAATTCAGCAAAGGATGTAGTCACTAAGGTCTGCTCTGCCATGTATAGATCAACATTTTAGCAGGCTGTTCATTGAGAACTTTGGTTGCAGGCTTTCTAATTTGCTGTCATCACTGATATTTACCTGTTAAAGCATGATGTATATTGTTTTGTTTTTGGAGTCCTCATCTTTTCTTTGGATAAGTGCTTGTTCTGTGCTGTCTACATGCTCAGTTTCACTGATGGAATTACATTCAGTCTAGTGTCCACATAAACATGGATTATAGAGAGATTACTGAAAAGCCTCTTTCTTTCTTTAGCTATTATGTTTTACAATGAACTGAAAAACGGAGACCTGCTATGGGACCTCTGTATTCCAGTCCCTCTAGGAATAGCCCCCCCTCTCGTGTATGTGTATTCACACACTTGTGTGCATGTTTGTATAGGTGTGCTTTAACATTATATATCAATGCCTATGTTCCTATCTCCAACCCCTTTAGATTTCTTCCTGTATATGTACTATGCCAAGAGCCATCTGACACCTTATGCTCTCTAAGTTTAACTCAATGATAAGTGAACATTTTAGACAACCAAGCAAGAGAACTGTCATATCAAATATATCAAACAGCACATTAAAACCAGAAGCCATATAAGTGTGCATATGTGGGTAAATTAGATTAATAAACATTCTGTTCTCCTAGGCTTTATTTTCTCAGAGTATACTTCCACATATGCATATTTTCTTGGCAAATGTCAGTATTTATTAATAAAAATTAGTCTTTAAAAAAATCTTGTAGTTCTCTAAGTGTATAAGCTAAATGCTGATAGGTAAATTCTAAAATGTCCCAACCCAAAATATACTGGTATTATTATGACTCTACTGGGGGACTCAGGTAAATGGGCTGTCTTGTATCTTGCTTTTCACATCTCTATTGCTTCCAAAAATCTCTGTTCTGGAAATGGTACCGTCTTACTTTCCTGGTTTCTGTAGTTACTATAGGATATGTACTTACATCTAAGAGTCAGAGCAAAGAGCCTTAAATGAGAAAAAACATGAGATGTTTGTCTTTCTGGGTCTGGGCTACCTCCTTCAATATGGTGTTTTTTAGTTCCATCCATTTACCTGTGAAGTCCATGATTTCATTTTTCTTTAGGGCTGAATAGTATTTCATAGTGTATATGTATCATTATTCATTTTTTGGTTGTGGAACTTTCAGGTTGTTTCCATTGTCTAAAAGTTGCAAATACAGCAGCAAGGAGCATGGCTGAGCAAGTGTGTATGGAACAAATGTCAAGTCCCTTGGCTATATGCCAATGAATGACACATGCCACTGCATATAGTTGATCTCTTTTTAGCTTTTTTTTACATAGTAGCTGCACTGGTTTGGTTTATAGTCCCATTAACTGGTTACTGGTCTTCGCCATTTTGATTGAGGTAGGATAAAAATGTCAATGTTGTTTCAATTTGTATTTATTTACCTCATTATTAAGGATAATGAACATTTTCTGACATAACATTTTTTGAGACATTTCTTAGCCATGGTTTTCCTTCTTCTTTTGAGGACTCTCTATTCAGGTCACAGGCCCAATTTTTGAGTGGGTCACTTTTTTTGACCTTTCGTTTTTTGAGTTCTTTGAATATTCTGGATACTAATCCTTTATCTGATGGACAGCTGATCAGTGGCATGCATTTTTGCTCTTATCTGACTGCAGTG